GATTTGTGCCCCTCAGGGCAGATCTGTGCCCCCTCAGGGCAAACCAGGGCCCCTGTTACCAGCCCTGGGGCAAATTTGTGTCCCCCAGGGCAGATCTGTGCCCCCCTGGGGAAACCAGGGCTCCTGTTATCAGCCCTGGGGCAGATCTGCTCCCCCCCAGGGCAGATTTGTGCCCCCCAGGGCAAACCAGGGCTCATGTTACCAGCCCTGGGGCAGATTTGGGCCCCTCCCGGGCAGATTTGGGCCCCTCAGGGCAGATCTTTGCCCCCCTGGGGCAAACCAGGGCCCCTGTTACCAGCCTTGGGGCAGATCTGTGCCCCCCCCCGGACAGATTTGGGGCCCCCCAGGACAGATTTGTGCCCCCCAGGGCAAGCCAGGGCTCACACTATCAGCCCTGGGGCAGATTTAGAGCCCCTCAGGGCAGATTTGTGCCCCTCAGGGCAGATCTGTGCCCCCCCCAGGGCAAACCAGGGCTCATGTTATCAGCCCTGGGGCAAATTTGTGCCCCCCTGGGGCAAATCAATGAGCCCTGGGGCAGATTTGGGCCCCCCCAAGGCAGATTTCTCCCCCCCCAGGGCAGATTTGTGCCCCCCCAGGGCAAACCAGTGCTCGCGTTATCGCCCCAGTTCCCCCCAGCCCCCTCACCTCTCCACGCTGCTGTGATGGATGCAGCCGTGCGACCCCCCCACGGCGTAAATCATCCCGTCGATCACCCCCACCCCGATGCGGTTGCGGGGGACGCTCATGGGGGCGCAGGGCGACCACTGGTTGGTCATGGGGTTGTAGCAGTCGATGGCGGCCGAGTCCGTGTTCCCGTCGGGAGAATTATTCCGTCCCCCCACCGCGTAAAAAAGCCCCCCCACCACGCAACCCCCCAAACCGCTCCGGGGAGTCTGGAGATCGGCTAAACGGATCCAGGATCCATCCCGAGGGTTGTAGGCTTCCAAATAACTCAAAGATTGCCGGTAATAACCGCCGGCGGTGTAAATGAGCTGGCCCACCTTGGGGGTCCGACAGGGTAAAACCTGGGTGGGTTTATGAAGAGTTAAATCTTGGAAAATTTGCGCCAGGTAATCCTTGGAGCGGGAATCGGCTCGGAGGATTTCGCATTTTTGGAGCTGCATCTGGAGGAAGTGCGGGGTGAGGGAGTGGCAGCGGACGGCGCGGAGCAGGGCCTGGACGTAGAGGCGGCGGTTGGGGCAGTCGTGTTTCACCCAGTTGATGCAGGCGTGGAAAACTTCGGATTCGCAGCGGACGTTGAGCTCGTCCCGGCTGATCAGCGTCACCAGTTGGCAGTGGGAGAGGTTGAAAAATTCCTCCTGTTTGGAAACCTGGGGGGGGGG